TATCCAAACTCACAGCTGATACAAAAAAGCAAAGACGAGGCAAGAAAATTTACCTGATACAAAAACTGAGCATAATTGCTCATAAACAATGCATTGCCTGGATTTTCCTCCATCATTCTCCGGTAATGTTCTTCCATGCTGACATCACCTCCTTCTCTATCGAAATCAACCGACCTATAACTCCCTCCTCCACCACCACCACCATTCCCGCCAAAATCAACACAACCAATACCAGAAATCCCGAGCCCCGAGGCTAAGTACATCTTCCCAATATCTCCAAAACTCAAACCCACATTATTCCCCACATTCTCCGAGACCAAGCTCTCCATCTTCTTCGACCCACTCACAAAAACACCTCCCGACTCGAATTCTTCGCCGTTTTCTGAAGAAGCTGTCGATTGGTGGGATGAGAAAGAAGGGATGGCCTCGAGAGTCCGGCAGCACGTTTTCCCGGCGGAGGGCTTCTTGGGAAGCGCGAATAATTCGTCAGCAGCGTTGTCGGCTAATAATTCGTCGAGATTCCCTTCAGACTGTATCCTTCGAAACCCGCCACCGGATTTGAGGCCGGCCGGCGAGGGGGACCGGAGCAGGGGCTTTTTCCGGCAGCTGTGGTGGAGCCCACATGAGATTCTGCCATGGGTGGTGGTGTTTGTTGTGGGCTTCTGTAATGTGGGGCTATTTAGTTCAGAGTAGTGATGATTGTTGTTGGTGGTGTTGTTGGGGCTGTCTGAGAATGATGATGATGATGGAAGGAGGGAACCAAGAATTGGTGTTGATGAGCTTCTCAGCATCATTTTTTCTTTGTTTAGTCTCCAAATTTGTGTCTTTTTTTTTGGGGGGGTTTCTNGAAAACTGAAAAGTCAGTCACAAAATGAAAAAAATAGTAAAAAAAAAATGGCCAACATATGTAGTCCAATGCTTTATTTGAAGGGCAGTTGAGATTGTGAGGATGAAATTGGTGAATGAAATTTATGAAATTCATGGCATGTGATATGCAATTTGTAGTTTTGTAATCTGAATTAACAATTTTGGGTACAGTAAAGGAGGTATATTGAAACTGATTCAAAATAAATTTAATGACCAACCATTATTCTTTTTATGATCAACACCCAAATTTTCACTTCTAAAAGTTTCTAACAAGAAAACAAGGCATGAGTAATGATATAATTTTGTGAAGCATACCTTATATGTTGTTCTGGTAGCAGAAATTCTTCAGCTTGGAAGCAAAAGCTTAAGCCAGCTAAGCAGCTAGCAGTTTTTAATTTTGGAGATTTTTTATTTTATTTTTCTCAAAATGTTTTGACTTTTGAGAGATGTCCTTTGAATTTATATAGGTCGATAAGAGGAATTGGAGTTTTAACAGGAAATAGAGGAGAAGATGGAAAAAAAGACAAATTTTTATGCACATGCTCAAGTGGACAATATTATTTATTTATTTATTTTTTTTTTGTGGTGTGCTTTGCTCTAATCAGATATGTGTAAAGGAAATCTATGTTAGATATTTAATAAAACAATAATGCTACTCAACCATCCAGTTTCACAACCTCTATGACAACTGCTTACGTGGAAAGCACTGACTTAACATATTAAATGAAAGAAAAAAAAAAAAAAAAAAAAAATTACACCACAAACATTCAAGCCGATAAATAAATAAAACACTCAAGCTTACCTCTTCAATTAGAATTCAGATTCAAAACCTAAATTGAGAGAGAAACAAAACCTGAGAGAATCGGGTAAAATTTCCTATAGCTTTCAACGGGTAATTCTGGGGCCTGTGCTTAAAGATCGAACATGGATTGCTTCTGTTCTTTCCCAATTTCTGTATTTAATTTTAAATTCCTTTTTTTGGGTGCAGATGTCATTAGCCCGGAAGTTCTTCGTAGGAAAGACATGGCGGCCATGTATTCGTGGTCTTGCAATGGGTGAGCCTTTCGATTTTGCGCTATGTTTGTTAATTTATTTTTTAATTTTGTTTATTTTATTTTATTTTTGGAATTTTGGGAGCAGGATCTACAGAAATGGATTTGTGTGACTCGATTTGCTGTAGGACAACTCATCTTCCAGGATTTATTCTTTCGTGTAATTTTGGGAGTATGAGCTACAGAATATGTAATGTCTCAACATCTAACATTTGTAGCTTCTTTACCAAAGCAAAATGTATTTTTTTTCCTCTTGTGCAATAGTTTAATGCTAATAGCATTATTGTAAATTAAATTACCTATTGAACATAGTAATGGTCCTAATCTGTCAATTACCCAGGTGAGTTATCAACCGTCTGGGTGTTGCTCCAGGTTTATGAGGGAGAGTGCCAGGACCAGGGACAATAACCTCCTTCGGAATTTTGAGTTATCCGGAATCCCGTCGGCTCCCACGGGTGTCCCGCAGATGAACGTGACGTTCGACATCGACGCCAATGGTATCTTGAACGTAACGGAGGAGGACAAAACAGCGGGCGTGAAAAATAAAATAACGATCGCGAACGATAAGGGGAGGCTGGGCAAGGAGGATATTGAGAAGATGGTGAAGGATGCGGAGAGGTATAAGGTAGAGGACGAGGAGGTGAAGAAGAAGGTGAAGGCGAAGAAACCACTCGAGAACTACGAATACAACATGAGAAGACGGTGGAGTGGCTGGACCGAAACCAGTTGGCAGAGGTGGACGAGCTGGAGGAAAGACTAAAGGAGCTGGAGAGAATCTGGATCGTTCGATGGTGCAACCACCGGCCAGGACTACGTTGGCCTCAAAATCACGGTCGATGGTGGTTGCACCGGCCGTAAGGATAATTTCGTGTATCAAATTGATGCATATGAAAAAATTTGAGGAGAATGGAATCCAATTTAGTAGGATCTTAGAATTGTGTTTGTTGCCTTTTTCTGATGTATTATTGTAGTTGAGGATCAAGTTTTTACTTCATTACATGCCCATTGGTTATCTGAATACTGCAATGAAAGGCTCTTTGTGTTGAAATATATGTTTGAACTCATTTTTGATGCAATAATGATATGATATTTTCTTGAAGAAGTAAAAGGGTCTAACTTTTAGTTCACATTTTCCTTGCTCACTCTAGAGGTAAAAGAGTCAGTGCGATGAATAAGTTGTGTTGCATGATAACAGGAGAATCCTCCCCCATCATTTTCATGTCCAATTGCCCTGTGCAAAGTGAAAGCGATTGTCGTTGTCCATACAAAAGAAGAAACCCGGAAGAATTGTGTATTGTAACCCTTAAGCATAATAATTCAAATAGTTGTATATGCTATTCATACAATCACAGTATTTCACATGGTCGAGTGCGTCTAATAGATCATTCTTTGGACACCTTCTCTTTCTATCATGGTCTAGTATTATTAGAAGGTGTCTTTAAATCAACAATAACATGTATTTCACATGAAAATGACACCAATGATAATGATGAATACGAATTGCACTAACATTTACCTAAAAATAAACACACCAAATGACAAACCAATTAGCATGTAAACTTAAACATTAAATCAAATGAAACTATTTCACAATGTATTTCAGGTAGACAGTGTGAACCAAAAGCAGCCCTTTCAAACTATGTAATAGAAAAATACAATGCCACAATTTTGTCCATGATCAACCATTTTGCTAGTCTAGGTATAGATGTTGGTCACTCGTCGACGACTTCGAAGTTTTGTCCACCTCATATGTTGCCATCATATTAGCTCCCCAATTAGGAACAAAAGAGGGTGTAAACAATTCCTGTGAGTATGACATTGGAGCAAAGGTGGGAAGATTGGCATGTACCATTGGTTGAATATATGTGGCACTTTCATGTGATTTAGAGGCTTCCTTATTTTTTTGTTTTGACGAGACCTACATAGTCAAGATATAAGATTAATAAACTAAAATATATAAAATGATGATCTAACATAACCAAATATAAATTACAATTTACCTTTAATTTCTTATAAATTTTTTCCAGTGCCCCCTTTTGACGTAATTTTCGAGGAGCTCCTTTTCTTTTCACATGGTTTAGATCAGAAATTTTCAGTCCCAAAATTTTATCCACTCCTCCATTAACTTAATCTACCAATATACTTTGGTGCAAATCAGATTTTCCTTCACTTTTTTGATCCATATTCGTTGAATCCAAATCAGGAGATACAGACTCGATCCACTCCATAAGCTTACCTGCTCTCACATCATCATTCGCCACCTTGTCGGCCACCGCTGCAAAAGCACTACACAAATGATCATATCGTAATTGATCAGGTGTCGAGATCCAATCATTATAATTGATCTTCACCTTTTGGTATGATCTACACACCTCTCCTCCACCTCCTCAATATATACATGTCAGGAACGGACGTCACATCATTGCGAATCAAAACTGTGATAGCATGTTTGCAAATTATCCCTCGAAACTCAAATAAATGACAGCTACAAACAAAGTTTCCCGATTCCTTTTGAGTTTGAACGATGTAGATTTTTTTATATTTTCTTCCATTGCAAATGACATCCTCCTGAACTATGTGTTTATGTCCCCGTAAAAGTTTCTCACATCCATCCTCATTGGATATAATCTCACAGTAAACCATACCTGTGAATTGAGATTGAAACTCCTTGAACTTATTGATGGTGTAAATGGCTTGGAATTGTTTTTCTAATTCATACATAGTAGCACATGGAACCATCGCTGAATATGACTTACAATCAGCCTGAATCTCCTTCCACTTTACTACGTAGTGCCCTCTTGCATCGTTCGACAAATTGCTTCAGTGTTGTTTTTGAATTGACATACCCATCAAAAAATGCATTAATACTCTCACTACGTTGTGTTGTTGACATCCCTGCCCAGAAACTCGTCTTCAGAAACATGGAACCCAACGGTTTCTTTCACTGTAGAGGCTAAGCAACCACTCATTCTCTTGTAGTTCATACGAGTGAACCATATTAATCCAACCCTGCTCAAATTCTTCTGGACTTTGAGATTCATAAACCACTTCATAAACTGTCGACATGATAACACCTTTGTGCAGATGACCGCCAAACTTCTCAGGCAACTTTTTAAGTACATGCCATAAACACCATATGTGTCTCGTGTTGGGAAAAACTGTTTGGATTGCATTTTTCATTGCCCTATCTTGGTCAGTTATTATTCCGATGGGAGCTTGTCCCTCCATGCACTCAAGCCATGTTTTAAAAAGCCATATAAAAGTGTTTGTATCCTCACTCGATATTAAGCCACATCCAAACAACGTGGAATGACCATGGTGGTTAACACCTACGAAAGGGGCAAACGGCATCTCATACTTATTTGTTAAATACGTTGTATCGATCGTCACTACATCGCCGAACTCTTTATATGCTTGTCTGCACCTATTATCGGCCCAAAATATGTTTTTCAACCGAAACTCCTCGTCCAAGTCAATGCTAAAGTAAAAACCCGAACAATTAGCCTGCATTTTAGAAAAGTAAGATTGAATTGCAGCTGCATCCCCTTCTCCGAGTCTCAAACGACGAACCTTATCAATATAATTTCGGCAGTCCTTCTCAATAAATGACATCTTTTCGTACCCACCAGCTTCTACAACAGCTGAATTAAAGCTTTTATGTAAAGGAATGCCAGCTACATCATTCACCTCAAGTCGTCGTTTAATATTGGCGCTTAACTGTCGATGGCAACGATATAATCTTGATTTGGAGGGACTTATAGCATGATTATGCTCAAGATGGACACCTGTAATTTTCCATATCCCAGTAATATCAGAACAAGTTGTCAACCGAGCTTCACATCCATTTTTAATGGTGGGTGATGGTTTGAAAGAAGTAGCAGTTGATTTATTTCTTTGTCCCTCTCAGCTACAAGTAAATGTTGCATTTTTTATGACACCCTCTTTGTCTTTCCTTGAAGTTCTCTTTCTAACTGGAAAACCCACACGAGCGGCATACTTTTTGTAAAATTCAAACACTTTGTCGTAGTTTTCAAACTTCATTCCAATCACTGGCACATGTTCTTCATCTTCATTGGTAGTCCATCGTGCAATTCAACAACATCCCTTGTAACTATCTCATTACCTTCTAGACGCTCATCCTCCACCAACATATTTTTTCTTCCTTCATTGTTGAAATAACAAACTTCATCGTCTGCATGATGAGATTAATTATTAGATGGAGCAATTTTAAAAAATTGAAAAAAACAACACCATCAAATTAAACCAAAAAAATCAATGAATTAGTGTCTAAAGCTATACACAAAATAATGAATGATATACCCGTGTCATTTGTCGTCATCTCCACAAGAAAAAGAATACCAAGTAAACAATTTTATTTTTTTTTTCAGTAGAATGAAATCGTAAAGACTGCGGCGACTTTAACGATCACAGTATTAAGGTCACAATGTCGAATTTAAAATCAAATCCAGAAATAGGGTGAGAATAAAAGCATATGAAGGTGGAATTTAAAATCAAATCAAGAAAGAGAGAAAGAACAAAATCATATCAAGGTTTTGCTCTCGACTGGACCCAAACGACGACCGACAACAAATTTTCCCCGATTCACTCTCTCGTTCGAGGTTTTGTTCTCCCGTGAATTGGTATTTTCAATCTCGGCGTTAGTATATGGTTGTAAATTGCGAAGTTTTTCACTCATCAAGGTTTCTGAAAGCTTGTAGTGTAATTTTTTTTTTATTTTGACACTTTTTTCTTTCATTTAATATGTTAAGTTAGTGCTTTCCATGTAAGCAATTGTCATGGAGGTTGTCAAACTGGATGGTTGAGTAGCATTATTGTTAATAAAAAGGAGTTCCTTACACTGTAGCTGTTTTATGTTAGATATTTAATAAAAGGGAGTTCCTTGCACTGTAGCTGTTTATAATATTTTATTCATTACGTAGCTCTTATGCTGCTGACACGTATCGATTGCTATTGTGTATTTACTTTTTTACCCTTGCTCATTTCTGAACAGAATTTGTTCGAACCATGTGAAATAAAGGAGTTTGGACTGTATCATAAATTATTTTTTACTCAATACTGTCACTGGTGAAGCCGTCTCCTCATTGCTTGCCCACAATTCTATATTCGTTGTGTCGTTTAATAATGAAAAGAAACGACCTTTTTACTTGCAATAACAACTAACTATACTATTTTTTTTTTTTTTAAATTAACTGTAGTTAAAAAACAAATCAAATAAAAACTAGTAGAATCCATAAACAATTACTCTCTTATTTGGTATACAGTATTCAAAGTTAGGTTATGGAATCTCAAATGAATACTTCATTTCACTATCAAGCTATACTTCATTACATTGCATGGACGTATGTGCATGTTGTATTTATAATTAAACACAAACTAGTACAACACCCGTGTATTACACGGGTGCTTGTTAAAAAATTATCCTTAAATTTTAAATTTAATGAGAAAATTATATTAAATTTAGTTTACTTTTTTACAAAAAAATATATTACTATATATTTTAGAATAATATGTGTTACTTATGACTTACATGTGTTATATTATATTAGTTTTTATAACTTATATCATATAAATACTTGAAATATAAATATATTAGTTGATAAATAATTTTATTTTTCTAATTAATAGTAAAAATAATTTTATATTGTTATGAAGATAAATATAATTATTTTTTTATACATACAATATGGATGTCAAATCGAAGCTCATCAAAAGAAGATTAATTTGATATATTACATATGTAAAACTGATAAAAAATACAAAAGTTATTAACTTTTAAAAAATATATACAATTCAATAGTTATAATAAGGAACGATATTAAAATGCAATTAATACATGTAACATGACCTTAAATAATCAACATATTTATGGTAATCCGAACCTAATTATTTTTGGTTTGAAATTAAATTAAAATTTACCCAAACCTAATAACGAAGCATGTAATTTTGCCACATAGGATTCTGAAGCACCAGAAGCAACCACGTAGGCTCAGCGCGTTCTGATTTATTATATATAGGGGGGATGGCATATGACCCATAGTTGTACTTCCTTTTGTGTAATTGTGTACCATTAATTAAATATTAATTAAATAGCTTGTAATAAAATTTAAAATCGTTATATTTGGTAAAACTAGCTGATAGTTGATAAGTTAGTTTATAGCTTATAACTTATGACTAATAATTGAAAAACTAGCTTATATGAAAAAAGTGTTTGTGCTAAAATTAACTTATATAGTGGCCTTGTTTGGTAATCAGCGGTTAGCTGATTGTTGTTAGCTGATTGCATTTGCTGTTTTGACCAGCGAATTGCGTTACCTGGTTTGACTAGATGATTGTGTTAGCGGTTTGTAAAAGAGTGTTTGGTAGGATTAGCTATTTTTAATTAGCTATTAACATGCAAAATTACTTATAAGGACATCAACATAATTTATCGTTATCATTTATGTTGAACTTATAATTATATAGGAAATAAAAGTAATTAATATTTTAAATATTTATTAAAGTGATTTAAAATATAATAAAAATATAAATAATAATAAAACAAAAATATTTCTTGATTGAGTAAATAAGTTCACGTCCTATAAACAAAACAATAACAAGTCATCACTATTTAAAAAAATAAATGTGAGCCAATTTCGATATCTCTCATAACAATTGAAAAAAAAAATATAAAAGAAAATTTAAATAACTAAAATTTACATTAACAATTTCTTAAAGTTTCCATGTACATCTAAGTAACCAAAATTATATATATTTAAAATTTTAGAAAAAAAGGTTGGTAAAATTATTTGTTAAGTATTATACTAGAATTAGTTAGAATTACATTTTTATATTTGAATATTTTTCTTATGTAACATTAGTTATAATTTTAAAAAACGAAATATTATTTCTATTTTTAAAATATAAAAAACGTGATATATATTTTATTGCTATAGGTTTGAATAAAAAGTTAAGAGCAGTGCATGGGAACCGGTCCATCCGGTTCGGCCGGCCGGTCGGCCTTTTTTTTTTTTTTAAATTATTATGTTATTTATTCGAAATAATTATGTTATAAATTGGACTATATTATTATATTATAAATTATTATTTTACATTTTAGACTTGATTATGATATAAATTGGACGTTTATCGTGTTAGGAGTTACAAATTATTATGTTACATGTTGATTATAATATAAATTGGACGTTTAGATATTATCGTGTTACGAGTTAGAAATTATTACATTATATATTAGTTTTAGTTATGTTATAAATTGACGTTAGATAGGATCGTGTTAAGAATTACAAGTTATTGTGTTACATGTTTATTATAATATAAATTGGACGTTAGATATTATCGTGATCGTGTTAGGAGTTACAAATTATATTAATTGAACGTTAGATAATATCATGTTACGAGTTACAAATTATTATGTTACATCGTAGAATTAATTATCTTAATTTAACATGTTCTAAAAATAAAAATATTGTACTATATAGCAGGAGTCATGGGAAGATTTTGGAGGAGATGGTGTTGATTACAGTCTGCGTTTCGATACATCTTCATTCTATAATAGTGCTCAGGAGGCTATTGAAGCTGCAAAACACCAGGCAATGCTGAATGGTTTCCTATTAATTATTTCGAGCCACAAAAAGAAAACGGTCAGACTTTTGAAGTGCCATAGAGGCGAACGGTACAGAGGCACAGGCGGAAATTCTAGAAGGACAAAAACGAATAAGTGC